GGTAACAAGTAACACTATTCTGGATACTACATGCTTTCAAAAAATGTTTTTATTTTTTATTATTGTGCTTTTAAGGGACCAAGTATTATTTTATTTCACTGAGCAAAGACTATTCATCAATCCTTGTCAGATAACAGCATCTGGGGTGTGTCACTCAGATTGGGCTTACCTGTATGATGATGCTAAAATGAAGCCACGGCCTTTTCCTTTAATCCTGGGACATGAAGGAGCTGGAACAGTGGAGAGTGTTGGTCCAGGAGTTACAAAGGTGTCTAAAGGTAAACAAAAAACAAAAACAAAAAAAAATCTATCATAAACACTTGATCATAATATTTTTTTTAATTCTAACAAGATTGGTTGGGGCAGTCATGGCCTAATGGTAACAGAGTTGGACTGGTGACCCAAAGGTTGCTGGTTCGATTCCAGTACCGGCAGGAATATGACTGAGGTGTCCTTGAGCAAGGCACCTAACCCCCAATCGCTCCCCGGGCGCCACTCAAGGCTGCCCGCTGCTCCGGGTGTGTGTATCCACGTTTGCAGTGTGTGTGTGTGTTCACTACTCACTACTCTGCTCCTAATGTGTGTGCCCTTACTTGGATGGGTTAAATGCAGAGGTCAAATTCCAAGTATGGGTTACCATACTTGGCCATCACGTGTCACTTTCACTTTCACTTTCGATATGAAATGTTTATAAATGGAAATGGATTTCTCAATTACATCATAGTTTTTCTCACTCGCTTTGGTACATTTCTTGAATCTTCCTTAGTTCAACCAAAAATAAAAAATTCTGCCATCATTTACTCACCCTCTTGTTGTTCCAAACTTGTATGAATTTCTTTCCTCTGCAGGAAGAAGATATTTTAAAGAATATGGGCAATCAAACAGGCCCAAGGCCCCATTGACTCCATATGGAGAGGAAAAAAAATACTATGGAAGTCAATGGGGTCCATCAATTCTTTGGTTGCCGACATTCTTTAAAATATCTTCTTTTGTGTTCAGCAGAAGAAAGAAATTCATACAAGTTTGGAACAACTTTAGGGTGAGTAAATGGTGACAGAAATTTAATTTAAGATTTGCAAACCATAAGTTTTATTTCTCAAAACAAGTCGTACAAACCACAATGGATTACCTGCAAAAGCCTTTAACTTGCTCAAAATCCTTAGTTCATCTGTCAAAAGTAAATACAGTATTAGTATATTTGCCAATGTCAATGAACATATCAGTGGCATGAAAATGACAAGTCCTTGTTTCATTGTTCACAAACAACATTCTTAGTCATGTTGTCAATATAACAGCATACTCTGTCAGTATTTTCAGATGTAAACTATGGCTATAATTTTGATGACAGTGATTGAAAATGCACAATACACCACTTTATCTGTATGGCATATATCAATTTTAACAGTACAAACTGACTCATTACTGTATATGGGATATTGATTGCAAAAAATGACTGGATTCACACTCACAGTGACACTTTTATTGTTTTTCTGTTCAAAATTACAGTACAATGTCATTGCGATATAAAGAAAAAGACAAGACTATAGTATATATATATATATATATATATATATATATATATATATATATATATATATACACTCACCGGCCACTTTATTAGGTACACCTGTCCAACTGCTCGTTAACACTTAATTTCTAAGCAGCCAATCACATGGCGGCAACTCAGTGCATTTAGGCATGTAGACATGGTCAAGACAATCTCCTGCAGTTCAAACCAAGCATCAGTATGGGGAAGAAAGTTGATTTGAGTGACTTTGAACGTGGCATGATTGTTGGTGCCAGAAGGGCTGGTCTGAGTATTTCAGAAACTGCTAATCTACTGGGATTTTCACGCACAACCATCTCTAGGGTTTACAGAGAATGGTCCGAAAAAGAAAAAACATCCAGTGAGCGGCAGTTCTGTGGGCGGAAATGCCTTGTTGATGCCAGAGGTCAGAGGAGAATGGCCAGACTGGTTCGAGCTGATAGAAGGGCAACAGTGACTGAAATAACCACTCGTTACAACCGAGGTATGCAGCAAAGCATTTGTGAAGCCACAACACGCACAACCTTGAGGCGGATGGGCTACAACAGCAGAAGACTCCACCGGGTACCACTCATCTCCACTACAAATAGGAAAAAGAGGCTACAATTTGCAAGAGCTCACCAAAATTGAACAGTTGAAGACTGGAAAAATGTTGCCTGGTCTGATGAGTCTCGATTTCTGTTGAGACATTCAGATGTTAGAGTCAGAATTTGGCGTAAACAGAATGAGAACATGGAACCATCATGCCTTGTTACCACTGTGCAGGCTGGTGGTGGTGGTGTAATGGTGTGGGGGATGTTTTCCTGGCACACTTTAGGCCCCTTAGTGCCAATTGGGCATCGTTTAAATGCCACGGCCTACCTGAGCATTGTTTCTGACCATGTCCATCCCTTTATGGCCACCATGTACCCATCCTCTGATGGCTACTTCCACCATCTCACAAAGCTCTAATCATTTCAAATTGGTTTCTTGAACATGACAATGAGTTCACTGTACTAAAATGGCCTCCACAGTCACCAGATCTCAACCCAATAGAGCATCTTTGGGATGTGGTGGAACGGGAGATTCGCATCATGGATGTGCAGCCGACAAATCTGCGGCAACTGTGTGATGCCATCATGTCAATATGGACCAAACTCCCTGAGGAATGCTTCCAGCACCTTGTTGAATCTATGCCACGAAGAATTGAGGCAGTTCTGAAGGCAAAAGGGGGTCCAACCCGTTACTAGCATGGGGTACCTAATAAAGTGGCCGGTGAGTGTATATACACTCACCTAAAGGATTATTAGGAACACCTGTTCAATTTCTCATTAATGCAATTATCTAATCAACCAATCACATGGCAGTTGCTTCAATGCATTTAGGGGTGTGGTCCTGGTCAAGGCAATCTCCTGAACTCCAAACTGAATGTCAGAATGGGAAAGAAAGGTGATTTAAGCAATTTTGAGCGTGGCATGGGTGTTGGTGCCAGACGGGCCGGTCTGAGTCACAATCTGCTCAGTTACTGGGATTTCTAGGGTTTACAAAGAATGGTGTGAAAAGGGAAAAACATCCAGTATGCGGCAGTCCTGTGGGCGAAAATGGCTTGCTGATGCTAGAGGTCAGAGGAGAATGGGCCGACTGATTCAAGCTGATAGAAGAGCAACTTTGACTGAAATAACCACTCGTTAATACCGAGGTATGCAGCAAAGCATTTGTGAAGCCACAACACGCACAACCTTGAGGCGGATGGGCTACAACAGCAGAAGACCCCACCGGGTACCACTCATCTCCAGTACAAATAGGAAAAAGAGGCTACAATTTGCCAGAGCTCACCAAAATTGGACAGTTGAAGACTGGAAAAATGTTGCCTGGTCTGATGAGTCTCGATTTCTGTTGAGACATTCAGATGGTAGAGTCAGAATTTGGCGTAAACAGAATGAGAACATGGATCCATCATGCCTTGTTACCACTGTGCAGGCTGGTGGTGGTGGTGTAATGGTGTGGGGGATGTTTTATTGGCACACTTTAGGCCCCTTAGTGTCAATTGGGCATCGTTTAAATGCCACGGCCTACCTGAGCATTGTTTCTGACCATGTCCATCCCTTTATGGCCACCATGTACCCATCCTCTGATGGCTACTTCCAGCAGGATAATGCACCATGTCACAAAGCTCGAATCATTTCAAATTGGTTTCTTGAACATGACAATGAGTTCACTGTACTAAAACGGCCCCCACAGTCACCAGATCTCAACCCAATAGAGCATCTTTGGGATGTGGTGGAACGGGAGCTTCGTGTCCTGGATGTGCATCCCACAAATCTCCATCAACTGCAAGATGCTATCCTATCAATATGGGCCAACATTTCTAAAGAATGCTTTCAGCACCTTGTTGAATCAATGCCACGTAGAATTAAGGCAGTTCTGAAGGCGAAAGGGGGTCAAGCACAGTATTAGTATGGTGTTCCTAATAATCCTTTAGGTGAGTGTATATATATCAGTGAATATAATATTGTATAATATATGATATTGTTTCAAGTCTATGTATGAAATGCAAAACATATATATTTTTAAACGTCTATGTAATTCGATATCTTTCTCTCTTTCTCAGTATTCGGACAGTGATTGAGATGTGAAATGCAAGAGATTCCCAATATCCTTTAAACAGAACACATAATATCAGTGCTTTAGGTGGGTTCATCTTCTACCTCTCTAAAAGCCATGCACCATCGAAAAGGAAAGGCTGAATCAATGTCATAAGTGAAAAGTTTAAGAAATTATTTTTTGCTGTTATTTTGACAGTTAACTGCCATAATAAAAGACTGTTTTGCAATATGTACAAAGGAAAAGAGAGATAGGCCTATGTTTAGACAATGATTATCTCCTGTATCTGCTAATCCAAAGGTCCCTTTTCATTTCCTGTATGCAGTAGCTATAGCACAAGGTGCACTGATATAAATGTATTGGAAAGGTAAAGTCACATTCACTGAACAGCACATTGATTGTTCTTTGTTTATATTCTCAATGAGAAGAATACAAGGAACATGTCTGTTATGGTCAGAAACTGTTCCACACAATAAAGCCAAATCTGTTGAATTTGATTTGTTTGTATCTTCTCTTTATTAGCAGTAGATGGCATGCTTGCACTGCATTTGCACTTTGTTTACTTAATTTCTCGTCACTCATTGTGCACTGTATAGAGAAGTAAGTATCCCTCCCTTCTGTGTGCCTTCAGACTGCTTTAGGCTAATATTTGTTGAATATGTATTAGTTCTTGTGTTTATATTCCACACTTCCACAAGTGTTGCTAGTTTCCAAGGGGCTTCATTCGATACTGATCACAATCAAACTTATTTTGCTTTTGCCCCTTTTGGGAAGAGGAAGGCTGACCCATAGTTATCTGTGGGTTAGCCAATCACATGCATGCAGCAGCTTGTTCAGTTTCTGGATTGGTCAATAATCCAGTAACACATGCTTTGAATAATCGTATAGCAGCTGTGCACTAGTACAAAGTACACTAGTACCAGCAGATCCTCTCCCGAGCCCTGACAAAAACAGCTCTGAATGTAAGTTATAAATAGAATGCAAACATATGCTGTAAATCTGTGCATGCATTCATCTGCTTTATTGAATGTGTTTTAAATATGGTAAATTACTCAAAACTACTTTATAGCCTTGAGGGATGTCACAATCCTCCTCAATGTGAATTAATTCGAAACAAATTTACTATTGCGTCAGTAGTACAATACTATTAGGCAATGATTTGTACTTGAACTGTTTTTTAAGGCAAAGTGAAGTGTTTTAAATGAAAAGAAATGTGTATGGTTTTCTAAAAACATTCAAAACATCATTCTGCTATGAAAAGGTTGCATGGTTTGTAATGTAAAACAAGAATGCATGTGACATATGATATAGTGCACTTTCATACTTCCTTATTGGTACACCACATGAGGGCGAGAAACACATATGCCACCATAAATGCAACCTCATGCCTGTGTGCAGATATAAATATTAGTTAAATATCTAGGCTTTAACTAATGTATGATATGGTTCATAAAGGTAAATCATGACCGCATGTTTAATGATGATAATCCATCAGAATAACTTTAAAGTGATGCACTTTACATGAAATCTACTGTCCCCTTTCATCTAACATGTTAAGCTAAAGTGGGATAGTACTTAAAATATGCCATCACAACTATTTAAAATTGTGCAACAATACATTCATTTTCATAATTAGTACTCAAAATGATCATATTTAAAAAACACAATATTTGATTTTAAGTGATTGTTCTATTTTTTTCAAAACGTTTTGTTCCTTGTCGGTTTGTACATCAATTAACCTCACACAACTGCAGGTAATCGATAGGTGCATTGGAAAAAGATTAAGAGATAGCCAACAATTATAAAAAAGAAAATCCTGCACACTATCTGTACTTGCAAAAATATAAAAAATACTTTAAGCACAACGTATCAGTTCACATGACCTTCATCAGGCATACACAAACAGACAATTACTTGATGATCCAATTTAAAAATTAAAATGACCAATCAGTTTTTTTTTAAGTTTTATTGGTTATTGCCACCAATAACAATCAATGACACAATATATCATTCTATAACATCACATAAAAATATTACATTTTACATAAATGCATACATAGAAAATACAAATACCATTATTTTTAATAACATTACATGAAATAACGCTTCATCGTTTAAATGCATTGGTTATAAAGTCTGAAGGGTAATAATCCAGAATAGCTCCCGTCTCTGTAAAATCATTTCTATATTGCCCCCCTCTTGGTCGGTTTGTACAAAAAGAAAGAAAGAAAAAAAAACTTTAACACGTTCAAGCTTTAATTGTCATTCATGTTCTTTTAGGAGGCAGTTTATTGACAACTTTGGAAACGATTCATTGTATTAAAAGTGTGTGTGGTTATCATGGAAACTGAGGGTCAGGTAAGGACATAAAGGAAAGAGAATCCTCACATAGTTGTCATCAAAGAATGATGTTGTTTTTAAGACTGTGAAATGAATCGCATTCAGATTTCAGTTTTTTTTATTTTATATATATATATATATATATATATAAGGTGATCAAGTGCAAGGCAGCAGTGGCTTGGGAACCAGGGAAAGCAGTCTCCATTGAGGAAGTGGAGGTTGCCCCTCCCAAAGCACATGAAGTACGAATTAAGGTATGTCCATTACACTTCATTAACCCAGTCTGTATGTAATCTCTTTAGTACAACGCATAGTCTTGCATAAAGACGCGATTATGATGTTGTATCAATAGCCAGGCACTACGTATTTATGCATCAGACCAATGACTTTTAATTGACCCATGTCAGATAGTAGCATCTGGAGTATGCCACACAGACTGGACTTTCCTGTATGAGGTTGGTAAAACTATGAATCCCCAGCCCTTTCCTTTGGTCTTGGGACATGAGGGGGCAGGAGTGGTGGAGAGTGTCGGTCCAGGCGTCACAAAGATGTCCAAAGGTAAATCCATCAAGGAGGCTTTTTTGTGTGTTAACTTTAACTAGTAAACTTCTGCCAATTTATTGATATAATTTTTGTAAGTATAGACATATAAATATGTTAAAATATAATTTACATGGATATATTATTTATTCAAACAGTCCGTAGTTTTTTCTCTTTGTCGCCATCTCTGTTCGAAATCTGCAATTGCAGTTATTTGCGGAATTATCAACTTTACGTGGGTTATGCCTCAACACGGCACAGCGCGGATGAATCCAATGTTTTGAGGAGAGTGTGCAGCTGTCAGTCTCCGCGCCGGTGTGGATACTGTCATTCAGAATCACAGATTCTACTTTTTGGAAGTATGGCCATCATAAGAATTTACACCGGAAAATGTCCTCTGAACAAGTAACATCGACTTTTGTTCTGACCAACTAAGGGAAAAAAAGCAGTGCAGTAAATCACGCTGATTAAATATAACGATCGCTTATATCACGTAAAACCGCGCAAATTATACTTTCTTCTCAAATTTATAATGTTAATAAAATCGGCAATGTGTGACTATATTTAATGCCCTTCCGATATTATCCTTGTTTTCGCATGGGCCCTTTTGCAGTCTCTTTTTTTTCTGTAGCCACTCCGAAGTCCGAACGAAGTCTTTTGCATTTTACAGCGGGTGAATCTCCAGTTGTCACTGGTGATTGTCGTTTGAACCTTTCTGGATCCGCCGTCAAATGAATAAGTTTAATTATATCAAGTGCTGTGAGAAAAGGCTATAAATCTCCACCTCTAACATCCTCACACGCAATATAGCCTACTAGCCGAGACTCCTTCTTTATGTGTACAGATGTGACGTAATGACGCAAAGACAAGCTCGAATTTCCTGCGGAAATCCACCAGTACCACTGGAATTAAAAACATTATTAAAAGCTTACCGCTTTGAATTGAGCTAAGGCAAGCAGATAGTTTTGAACACTGGCTGGTTATGTACTTGCTAAAAAAATTATTTTGGATAATTTTTAACCCAAAAAAGTTACGGACTGGAGCTTTAAAATGTAACTGACAGTGATTACTTTGTAATATTTGCAAACTGAATTGTAATTGGTCTTTTTTTGGTCCTGAAATCATCCTTTGCCTATGCATGAGTACAAAATGTAACAAAAACATGAATAAAGAGCAGATAAATAGATTAGAAGTGATAAAAAATATTTTTGTTAAAGCTGCAGTCCGCCGGTTTTCCTCTTTGTCACCATCTCTGTTCGAAATCTGCAATTGCAGTCATTCGCGGAATTATCAACTTTACGTGAGTTGTACTTCGACACGGTACAGCGTGGATGAACACAATGTTTGAGGAGAGTGTGCAGCTGTCAGTCGCCGCGCCGGGTGGATACTGTCATTCAGAATCACAGATTATTCTTTTTGGAAGTATGACCAACATAATAATTTTCACCGGAAAATGTCATCTGAACAAGTAAGAAACATCCACTTTTGTTCTGGTTCTGACATTGCAGTAAATCGCGCTGATTAAATCTAACAATCGCTTATAAGTTATCATATCCCGCAAAACCGTACAAATTATACTTTGTTCTCAAATTGTTAATGTTAACAACGTCAGCATTGCGTGACTACATGTAATGTCCTTCCGATATGTATCCTTGTTTTCGCATGGCCCGGTTGCAGTCTCTTTTTTCTTTTTTCTGTAGCCACTCCGAAGTCCGAACGAAGTCTTTTGCATTTTACAGCGGGCGAATCTGTTGTCACTGGTGATTGTCGTTTGAACCTTTCTGGATCCGCCATCAAATTGATAAGTTTAATTATATCAAGTGCTTTGAGAAAAGGCTATAAATCTCCACCTCCAACATCCTCACTCGCAATATAGCCTACTAGCCGAGACTCCTTATGTGTACAGATGTGACGTAATGTGATCTCCCGTGGAAATCCACCAGTACCACTGGAATTGATTTTCGTTCTTGAAATACACCTCTGGTGCAACTCAGACACATCATCAGTGATGTATCCTGGGTTCATTGGGTGTTTCGGGTCTCACAACATCATACACCCTCGCCCAGGCGACCCAGCCAGGGTTGATCAGACCCTGGCTTGTGTCTGAGTAGCTTGTATGATCCACGGATCGCCCCGCTTAATCCATAGCCATCTTGACGCCTTTTCGGCGGCGTCGGTGATGTTCTTGACGGCTTTCCTGATGTGCAGTCCCTCCACTCCAAGCATCTTGAGGGCCCTAATCAGTGACTGGCCGACGAATCCTCTGCACCCGACCTCGATGGGATTACATCGGGTCCTCCACCCCCTGCTTCGGCGTTCGCCTGCCAGCTCCTCGTACTTGGCCCTCTTCCTCTCAAAAGCCTCCTCTATCCGGTCCTCCCAGGGAACAGTCAACTCCAGCAGGACCACTTGCCTTGTTATTTCTGACACCAGGACCATGTCTGGCCTGAGTGTGGTCACTGCAATGTTTTCTGGGAATTTGAGCTGTTTCCCAAGGTCAACCTTCAGCTGCCAGTCCTGTGCTGTTGCCAGCAGCCCCCCTGATTGCTTCAGGCGCTGGTGTGGCTTCTCCCCAGCTTTAACAAAGGCGATGTTCTGTCTTGCTGGTTGCTGGTATCTACTGCAGGCGATCCCACTGCTGATAACCTCTGCAATAACCCCTTAATACTTGGTCGTGGCGCCAACGGTAGCGCCCCTCTCCCAGTGCTTTTGAGCAGCAGCTCAAGATGTGCTCCAATGAACCTCCTCTTTGGCAGAGTGGGCACAGTGGTGTCTTTGCCAGGCCCCAGCGGAAGAGATTGGATGGACTGGGGAGGACATCATAGACAGACTGAACCAGGGATTTAATCCGGTGTGGCTCAGACTTCCACAATTCTGTCCACGATATTTTCCGGTCTGCCGCCTGCTCCCATCGAGTCCATGCTCCCTGCTGCCTCATCCCTACTGACCTGCTGCAGCGGACTTCTTCCACCCCAGCTCGGACCTCCTCTTGAATCAGCTGCCTCCTTTCCTTCCCCTGGGCCTTGTTAAAGCGAGGTCTTGGATTGCTCCCAAGTCCTGCCCGTCCAGATGCCACTGCCCCCACCAGCTCACTATGTCGCAGCCGTGACTCGGCCTGATCTACTGCCTCTTGGGCCTTCCACTTCCTGCCGGTTCTGACCTCTATGCCTGCCGAAGAGACCTTGATGTCACTGGAATCTCTAGACAGTAGCACCTCTCTTGATCGGGTTACCATAAACTCTTCCTTCAGACTGCTGAAGGGCATTTTTAGCTTGTTCTTCCTCCCGTACAAGGCGATGTCACTGAGGCTTCGTGGTAGGCCTAGCCACTTCCGCAGGGAACAGCTGACTTTCCTCTCACAGCATTAAAGCACAAAAACATAATTACAAAGCACAAAAACATTATTACAAGCTTGCCGCTTTGAATCGAGCTAAGGCAAGCATATAGTTTTGAACACTGGCTGGTTATGTATTTTCTCAAATATGTATTTTGGATAATTTTTAACCCCAAAAAAGCTACGGACTGCAGCTTTAAAATAAAAGGCATGTAAATAAATATGATGTATAGTTTTTACAATTTTGCTTTAACTTTAAAACTGCATTCTACCATTCTACAATTTATCTACAGGAGATAAAGTTATTACTCTAGTCGTGCCACAGTGTGGAAAATGTGAACGCTGCATGAGTCCAAAGACAAACCTCTGCACCAAAAACTGGTGAGTTATCGTGACTGAGTGATGTTAGTCTTTTTTTTAAGTTCTCCTAAACTCATAGACTAGATTGATGAGGTGGGTGATAAAATAAATCAGTTGCATTAAGAATCTCTTTATTTTCTAGGGAGCAAACTCAGCAGTGTGTTCTTGCTGATGGCACTAGCAGGATCACCTGTAAGAATCAGCAGGTCCATCAGTTTATTGGTATCAGCACCTTCTCTGAATATACTGTTGTGCCAGAGGACAACGTCACCAAGATTCACCCAGACGCTCCGCTGGACAAAGTCTGTCTGCTGGGCTGTGGAGTGTCTACAGGATATGGGGCAGCAGTAAACACAGGCAATGTGTGTGTGATTTCTACTGGTATAAGGTCAAAAAGGCGATACATAAAATAAACATAACATCCCACCAGCTAATTTGGCATTGTCTTTCCCAGGTAGAATCTGGCTCTACATGTGCAGTGTTTGGTTTGGGAGCTGTCGGACTGGCAGCGGTCATGGGATGCAAGGCTGCCGGTGCCACCAGGATCATCGCCGTTGACATCAACCCAGACAAGTTTGAGATCGCCAAGACGTTTGGGGCCACTGAGTTTGTGAACCCTAAAGACCACAATAAACCCATTCAGGAGGTGCTGAGGGAGCTGACGAATGGTGGCGTTGACTTTGCTATCGAGTGTGTGGGGAACGTGGGAGTCATGGTAAGTTAAGGCCCTTCCACACCAATAATAATAACTGTAACTATAAAGTAACTGTAACTTTATTTAACTATAAAGATAACTAGGGCTGACGCCATTCATGGTAAATGCCCTTAAACATTAAAAAAAAGATACGGTTAGGGGTTAGTTTCTTTTGTAGCATTCTGTACCTTTCTGAACCTTTTGGAGCTCCCATTACTCCGACCTGCAGTTATCTCTGTCTCAAAAATAGCTCTGAAAGTGATTCCAATATCGTTCCTTTGTGCCGTGTTTGTTAAAGTTGTGGTGTGGACTCTGCTATTCTTTTACATTTACAATGATTTTTAAAGCTTTATCTTTTATCGTTATTATACAGTATAGCTTTTTTATTTTTAGGAATACTTTTATGGTCAAACAGTTCTATTTCCTATTGCAAACCACATAGTCATAGAAAAACATCACTGATCCGGATTCATGTAAACTAATGAATCTTATCGTACAATCAGAGGGCTGCTGTGGAAGCGTGCAGTCCTGCAGGGGGAGTCTGTGTGATGGTGGGCTGGACCCGGATGGGGGAACTAACTCTGGTCTCTGAGGATATTCTGCTTGGAAAAACTCTGAAAGGCTCCTATTTTGGTGGTAAAAGCATGCCTGATCAATTAAAATATCACTCATGGTCGTGTTCTGATGTGTATCTTGCAGGTGCAGTATACCAGCTTGATGTGATATGGAGAATTAGGTCTAATCATTTAGAGTAATGTGAGTTGTTTGGGTGGAAGACACCCAGAAAAATGCAATCTGATTGACAGGTTGGAAGAGTGTTGACGCGGTGCCCAAGTTGGTGCAGGATTATATGAGTGGGAAGCTTCTGCTGGATGAGTTTGTGACACACAATCTGACTTTAGATCAGGTTAACCATGCCTTCGATCTCATGATTACTGGAAAAAGGTCAGCTCTGTGAATACTAATGACCTTGTGTTGTGCTGATAACATTTTTCATATACGACACACAGAAGTCTTTACATTGACTAATAATTGTGTGTGTATATATATAAAATATACACTAATACACACTTTCTCTTTTTCAGTATTCGTACAGTGATCAATATGTGAAATGAAGGAAGCGTCCTGTCTTCCTCAAACAGAACAGTGTTTATATTCTGTTCAGACATTACAGGAAGAAGAATAAAAGTTGTCAAATACTATGCAATAAAGCAATTAAACAGCACAGATCTCCACAGTTCAGATCTCATTGGCCCTGAATCCTGTTCAACATAATTATATAGTAAACATTAAAAATGGTCACATCACACAGCAGTTTCATTCAGTATGGTTTCATATGTACTGCAGAGAGAAGCTTTATTTCAGATAAAAAATTTAATTTAAAATTTTTTTTTAAAAGTAATATACATTGAGTCACAATGTTACTGTTTCACACAATAAAGCTTCATTTGGTTGTATATTTTCTCTTTTGCCAGTAGATGGCAATCTTGTACTACAAAACATCCCTTTTCACTCCTTTTGTCTTTCTTTTGTGTGCTGTCTGAATTAAGACAAAGTTTCTTCAGTTTGCCTGTATTTCTTTTCAGGCTTGGCTGAATATCCATGTTCTTGTGTTTATGTTCCACATCATTACAGAGCAAACCACCAGGACTCCATTCTTTTAAATATGTACCATTGTTTCCCTTTGAAACCACTATCCACCAGTTCTCATCCTCATCTACAATAATATTATCCTCTGAGCCTTCATTGTCTCCAAGTAGGACATGCTGTGTGAGAGAAGCCTCTAGAAAAACAGAAAGAATTTTGTCATAAGCAGATGGATGGGTGCGTGTCACTAGGGGTTGGGGAAACATGCAGCTGATCACAGGTAGCATTTTGACCTTGGTAATATTATATATTGATTTAATATAGCATGCTCTTGAGGGTTAGAATAGCAGTTGTGGCCTGTCAGAACCAGAGACAAAGGGCTGGCTGGGGAATGCCTCTCCGTGATGAACTGGAATGGCTGTCCAGAAATAAATTGTAGTTCCATTCAGATCAAATGAATACTCTTGGCAGAACCCCCTCCCCCTTTTCCATCTTTACGTAAAATGGAAAAATGAAGCAAAGTCTCTCCCTCACGTTTACCCCATCCCCTGCCAAATTGTGCAATTAATCAGAGATTGAGATTCAAAGCTGTGACTCTGTGTTGCTCTTTCCATTGAAACTGAGAAAGATCACTAAAAAATTGAGACATCAAAAGATAGAAGACAAGTAGCGACAGGTGCTTGTTCAGTGCGCTCATTTGTAAATGCAGGGCATTTTATAGGGGATAGATTTACAAAGGCCCACTAGGTTATATTGGACCATTCAGACTGCATACCTTCAGTTAGTGGGCAGGATCAGTAGTGGCGCTAAAAGTAGCAAACATCTTAGTTTGAGCTGTAGCATCAGTATTTTTAAAATCAAAGGAAAGCTATTTTATTTTATAAACAGAGGTCAGCATTGTGAAATACAGTCATTTATCTCGGCAATGTGTCAACTGTAAAAACATGCATGTAGTGTCGATTGTTTACGATCATAAAAAGTGATGTCTGGTTCTACAGGTCATTACATGACTCTTTTGAATCAGTTCGTTTAAACAAATTGCTCAGAATTTAAGGTTGGCATAAAACTGACTTAATTTTGTCCATCGGAAATTTGGATCGTTGTGGTTTGCTATTGCTGTGATCTCATCATCATGTGGGAACATTTCCCACCCTCGTGCCGGCAAACGCCATAAGATAAGAAGAGATGTTGCAAGAGGGAGAAGTTATTTTGGATAAAGATTATGAGGACAGATAAGGGAAATATATACTATATATAGGACAATAATTTATTTCATGTTGACAATTATCTTTTAAAAACCTCAAACTAATTTAACCAATTGCTTTGCAAGCACTTGAAACTAACCGAACACATGTTCAATGCTCTACAAAACATTGTAGGTATTGCCTTGTAATCTTGTACTAGAGACAAAATGGTAAGAACTTTGGTAAGATGGTAAGAAGTTCTTCTTACTTTTTTCAATGTTAACTTTGTGAAGCAGGCTATTTCGAATCCTCACAATTCTGAATCATCAAAGTCACGTTTGAGAGTGTGAATCGTTCGAAGAGCTTCCAGCGTAGGCTAATAGACCCACTCGACTGATATACTAATGTTTTGCCAAAGTGTCTGCTAAATGAACAAATGTATTTTATTTAAATTAAAGTTTATATTTTACTTCGAATATGATTCCATGCCAATTTAAATGTCACTTGTCTATCACAAATGTGGTGACCTTTGATTGAGCTGTGTGTTTTTCATCAACGTGATTGACATATAAATAGAAGGTAAAGTCAAATACAGCAATGGAGTATCAGATTCTAATGAAGAATAACGATTTGTCCTGTGTGCTTACCATGACAGATATGAGACATATTCCTCTCACATGAGCTTGGTCCAGGCAAATATCAGGCATTTACCCTGCCAAATGTGCAGTCAGCACCGTGCATCATTCCGACAGGCACGACAGACTCATAAGGAAAATTGACAAACAACGGAAATGCCAGCATAGGTAAATATTGCTGAGCAAATATAGCTTGGAAGAGAAAAAATGTCAAAGGGGCTGAGTTGCCTTTCTCAATATTTAGATGTGGATCAAAAGATTTCTCCCTTAATTATTATATTTAACGTGTGCAAGGGTGTTCAAATGTGTGTGGGGGTGCACCTGTGAATGCGTGACACTGCTAGGCGACGGTGCTATTGGTGAAAGTGCAAAACAGCCTTGGTCACTATGCAATGTGTGAGCGGATCTTCCAGTTAAAAGATCATACGAGCCAATTTTTCATGTTTTTGCCAATATAATATCTCTATAATTTCGTGTGATAGCCTTAAGGATGAAAAACCTCCCTCTTCAAGAAATTCCATGCATCTGAAACATGAATTTGAAAAACTTTTATTTTAACCAAATTGTTAGACACATAGGTGGCCCAGTAGCTGAAGAATAGATAACAAACTGGTTGGACCATGTAGGATCTGGGTCAGGATCTACCGAGCGTGACTGTGAAAGACTGAGAGACAAATTGATTTGATCTGAATGAAGAAAAACTCACTTGTGACGCTTTTGAAATGTAAACATATTTATGTCAGTTGACTTTGTAATTGCAGTGATTTATGTGCGAAGGTAAATCAAGATTTGTCAAGATGAAGACTTTGTCAGATGGAATTCCTCTCATGTGGAAATACAAGTGAACAAATAAAACGTCATTGTGACCTTAGCCAGTATGAACAATTGAGTCAAGATTTATTATAAATGAATGTCTACTTGAAAGTTTGTTTGAAGTTGAAGCTGTGGTGGTGAGGCATAAAATTCAGTTTTGGTTGTCTGTATTCTTTGGCATTTCTTTACTTTGAGAGGTGTGCTTCTTTTAGGTTTCCTTTCCTGTGCTACTCAGAGCTCAAAGGGTTTGGCAGAGAACATGAACAAACACAGCCTCTGGATTGTCTTAATTGATGGTTCACTCAAGCTTCAGTGGCAATGATAACTTTAAAACAAGTACCTGAGACAGAGAGACAGACAGCACACACACACACACACACACACACATAGAGAGAGAGAGAGAGAGAGAGAGAGAGAGAGAGAGAGAGAGAGAGAGAGAGAGAGAGAGAGAGAGAGAGAGTTCAGAGAAAAAGACAGTGGCCTAGTTCAGATGAACACAAAGCCCAAACTGCCATGGAAGAATGCGTCCCTAAGTCGGTGAAAGACCACCCTGGTAGAAGCCCTGTTTTAGCAGTAAATCCGGGCCATTAGTGTTAATGCCAGCCAATGCCTCAGACATCCCCAGCCTAAAGCTCAACACAGCAAACCCGGATCCAGTGACACAGTCCTGGCTGCTCTAGCAAGGGAAACCCCTTATCAAAGTGGCTGGAAGGGTTAGGAGAGGTCAGCAATACTGAAGCTGCACACCTGCACTGCAGCGGATCTCCTTGCTTGAAGGACACTGGATTAGCATAGCCTGTTGGGGATTTTTAGGGGAGTAGATAATAATTATTTGACTGGTAAAACAACTACTTTACTGGTAATTAGAGGACCGTTTTATTAAATAGAGTTATAATATTATGACAAAAGCAGCGTTGGGAGGCACTTTGAAACTTTAATGATGTTACAGTAAGTTTCAATTATACTTTAATGCATTAGGCATCATGAGCTAACAATGAACAATATTCTTGGTTAATGTTAATTACATTACATAAACTACTGTTCAAAAGTTTGTGGTCAGTAAGATTTTAACTAAACTCTTTAATGAAATAATAAATTAATACTTTTATTTAGTGAGGATGTATTAAATTAATCAAAAGTGACATTAAAGACATAATGTTACAATAGATTGCTATTTCAAATAAATGCTGTTCTTCTGAACTTTCCATTCATTAAAGAATTCTGAAAAAATTTACCATGGCTTTCACCAAAATATTAAGATGCACAACAACTGTTAACTGATAATAATTTTAAAATGTTTCTTGAGCAGTAAATCAGTATAAGAATGATTTCTGAAGAATCGTGTGACACTGAAGACTGTAATGATTGCTGAAAATTCAGCTTTGCCATCACGTGAATATATTTCATTTTAAATATAGTTATATTTAATTGTAATAATATCTCTCTCTCTCTCTCTCTCTCTCTCTCTCTCTCTCTCTCTCTCTCTCTCTCTATATATATATATATATATATATATATATATATATATATATATTCTCTCTCTCTCTCTCTCTATATATATATATATATATAATTTTTTCTAAATAAATGCAACATTGGTGGGAATAAGAGACTTATTTCAAAAACAATTACCCATGACTCCAAACGTTTGAACAGAAGTGTAAATTCTTTTTTGAAAACAGATGTCAGCCAACCAAAATTGTAATGAAGTTAGAAACTCTCCAGTTTTAGTAAGTTATTCCCCAACACAGAACAAAAGGTTTGAGACAAGGTTTGTTTGTGATGGTTTTTCTAATGCTCATGTAGAGGATTTGAGGTCATGTTGTGTAATAGCTGTGAAGGGACACACACACACACCCCACCGAAATGGATGGTTAGCATCTGTGTCTAAGGAGTAATTATGTAATTGCAGTGTTAAGAAACACCGTCAGGTTTATAAATTGGAGGATGGGCCTCAACACCCATGATTCTCTACATGTTTTGACTGCAATGAAACAAAGACTTGC